AGAACAAAAGTCAAGACACAAGCAGTAATATTAACAGTCAACTGGAATTGAATGAATTTCTTGATAGAAGTGGCCACAGTTCTACCCCATTTGATAGCTTGAACAATATCAGTGAAATCATCAGTCATCAAAATAATATCAGAAGCTTCACGAGCAACTTCAGTACCGGCAATACCCATGGAAAAACCAACATCAGCCAATTTCAAAGCTGGAGCATCATTAGTACCATCACCAGTAACAGCAACAACTTCACCCGATTTTCTTAAAGTATCAACAAGAATACGCTTATCTTCTGGAGAAGATCTAGCCAAAACTCTCAATTGAGGAACAATCTTGTTTCTATCTTCAAGAGACAATTTTCTAAACACAGGACCTTCCATACAGGCATATTCATTGGATAAATCATCAGGGGTAAGGATGAAACATTCTTTACTAATGGATTTGGCAGTGTTGATATTATCACCAGTGACCATTCTAACAGTAACACCGGCACGTTTACATTGCAAAACAGCTTCGGCAACACCTGGTTTCAATGGATCTTGAATACCAACCAAACCATCAAGAACAAATGTCTTGTGAATTTCACTGGCAGCAGAACTAACATCAATCAATTTAGTGGCATCGGCTTCCTTGTTATTATTTTCCAAGGAAAGTTCTTTTGGTGGCCAAGAATCAATACCAACAAAATCACGGTGTCCCAAAGCAATGGCACGCAAGGCATCGTTGGCATATTCATCAATCTTGGACAAGACATCTTCGCGTTTGGTTCTGTCCAACTTGATCAATTCATCGTTAACATTATTTTCGTATCCACAGTTCTTGAACACAATTTCAGCAGCACCTTTGACATAAACACGGTAACCGTTTGTAATCTTCATTACAACACCAGCCCACTTACGGGAACTTTCAAATGGAATAACTTGAACAATGTCAGTGGCATTATTGTGTCTGATGGTATCTAAAGATCCAGAAGAAAAAGTATGGAACTTTTCTTTGGCCATAATAAGCAAAGCAGAATCAGTTTTGTTACCCAAATATGGTTCATCAACAGTACCCATTTGTTCAAACTTGTTAGATTGTGGACCCTTTTTGAAAAGACTGGCAAGAAAACTTTTTTGAACTGGTTTTTGTTTAGCAAGCTTAGCCTTTTCTTCATCATACTCGGAATTTTCAAATGCAGTGGAATTAAGGGTAATGTTTGTAGTCAAAAAAACTTTCAATTCCGGTGTGATTTGTTCAAGAACATCTAATGAAGTTGGGTCGTGTTGGTTTGTAGCAGTATCATTGAATTCCAACGGTTCATTTGATTTGTTCAATCCAAAGAAACCTTTAACAATTCTCATTTTATTTTCAGTTAAAGTACCTGTTTTATCAGAACAAATAGCAGTTGCCCCACCCATGGTTTCACAACTTTTTAAAACTCTGACCAAGTTACCATTTTGTGCCATTCTAGTAGTGGCAAATGCCAAAGCCAAGGTAACGGCCAATGGTAAACCTTCTGGAATAGCAACAACAACAATGGTGACAGCAGTAATAATGATATCAATGAATCTTTTACCCTTATCGGTTGAGTTTACATCATGTAGAGAACCACCTGGAGCAATTTCAACACAGAATCTGATAAATAAAACGACAAATAACACGATTGCAGCAAGGAAACCGTATTTGGAAATACCTTCAGCCAAATTATCCAATCTAACTTGCATTGGTGTAGTTTCAGCTTCGTGATTTAAACTCATCATAGTTCTACCGTGAATAGAATTAGTACCGACAGCAGTGACAACAGCATTACCCAAACCGGATAACACTTTAGCACCAGATATTAAGTATGGATCACGAAATTTAACAGTCGTACTTCCGAGATCTTCATCGGTTGGTAACTTGCTTTCATAAATTTGTAATGCTTCATCAACAGGGACTTTGTTTATAGTATGAGATTCACCAGTTAAAGCACTTTCGTCACATTCAACTTCACCTTGAAGTAAGATACAGTCAGCCGGCACAACATCACCAGTTTGTAAATTAATGACATCACCAACCAATAAATCGTAAATGGAAATCAATTTTTGTTCACCGCCATTTCTTATAACAATCAATTCTCTATCTTCCTTTTTGGCATTCAATTTAGCAAATTGTCGCTCTTTTTGGTAGTCATTGGCAGCACCAACCAAAACAACAATACAGACGGCAACCAAAATGGCCACCCCTTCAACCCAGTCAACTTTTGGTATTGGTTTACCTTCGTCATCGTAATGGGTACCACTTCCGAAAGTCTCATACAACCCTAGAGCCAATGAAACAACGGCTGCATACACATATGACCAGACTTTATCCTTTAAAGCCTCCCAACACAACTGAAGAAAAGTTTTTGACTTTTGTAGTATTGTTGCACAAAATATTCTCTTCGCAGGACTAATCGCCCTGGTTATTTTCATTCAACCCGCTTGAGGAAGTGTGTAAACTAGACATCAACCTGTCAATGCCTATTTCATACAAGTTTTTCAAAGACTTTGGATCATGTAAACTGGATAATTGTTCTAATGAAATTGGGAAATTCAGCTGCAACTGCCTTGTTGAGCTTCTTGATAGTATATTTGTGTGTTTTGCAGAATGGATAGCGCCTAATTTGTGGCCCTTGTTGTTGGAAGTACTAGGAAGATAATGTTCAAAATCGCTTAGATCGGTGGTGGTGTTTTCGACAGGGCTACCCTTTGTATCTTTATTTAATGGTGTATCTGAATGAATAGACGATTGGTCGTCATTGTCATATGCTGGTAGTTGTAAAGTAGTTGCAACACTCGGCTTATCCGCATGAGCTTTTGGAGACATGATAATATAATAGTTAATATGTGGTTGTAATAATTAATATGCAAATGGTAATAAATGGTTGTCAAAAAATTCAAAAAAAATTTCAAAAAATCAAAAATCCAAAAAAAAAAAATTGGTTGTAAGAAATTTATGAAATATTTTATACTGATTGGAACTTTTTATTTTATTATTTGATTTTTTCCCTTGCTTGATTTTCTCACGGTTTCGTTTCGGTGTTTAACAAAACAATACAATAGTAGTAACAACAATAATAATAATAATAATAATAATCTGAAGATATGTCAGGGAATCTGAAATGAAATAAGGCTAAGTTTATCAAGAATAAATGATATCAAATATTCAGACAGTAAAGCAGTTCAGGTACAGATAAAATGCTGTGCTAAATAATAATAACAACTGTTGTAAATGACCTTTTGATAAAATAAATGTTTAGAATGATATCACTAAAAATAAAATAAAAAAAAGTAGATCATGAAACTTTCATCCAAAAACAAAAATCAAAAAAAATTCAAGGGAATGAAATAGAAATGGGAGAATCTACGTGATTATTATACTGAATTTGGGTATCATTACTTTTTTAATTTAGATTCTTGCTTATGTGTCCAGGGCGGATATGAAACTGAGCCAAAAAAAAAAAAGAGAATGGCAAAATGGAAAAAGGAAATGGAAAAAGAAAAAGAAAAAGAAAAAGGAAAGCGCCGCTCATCTCCCACCACTCCGTCGGTCCTCTTGTGCCTTGGATTGGCCATATATTCTCATGAATTAGTTCGACAAATGGTTAGAACCACAATTGCATTAGAAGGGGGACAGAATAGGACGCGTATATGAGATAACGATAAATTTGCTTTTTTCTTAAAAAAATCTTATAGAGAATGCAACATTTGCTGTACAGCAAAGAAGAAGAAATGAATTGCAAAAAAGGTGGCTGTGCTGTTTAAAACAATCAAACAATTAATTTACTCTTTCTTTTTTTTTTCTTGTTCCCTTGGTTTTGGCCACACCTACACGACCACATGCACAGTACATAAATCCTTTGATGCATGAGAATCCCACTAAAGAGTTTCAGTTATGTGCACCTACAACACAAATCCGACAATAAAATCACAAGGAGACATCCACATACTGTATGTACATAAATTGATGCCGTATAATAGAATGGAATTTCTAAATATCTCTACCGTCAATTAATCTAAAACCTATAATCTGTTCTATTATCATTTAGTGATATTAAATTAAACTAAATTAAATCAAATCAAGTCAAATCAAGTCAAATCAGAAGTTTATCACCCGCAGATAACTCATGCGTGTTCATAAGGAATATACGACTGTTATTTTGACTCGTATCAGACAATGCAATAGTGCTCCTCTCCCTCCCCTATTAAACCCAATACTACTCTTTAGTAACTAGATGCTCACTTCATATCACAAGACACATAGGCAAAGCATTCAGTGGTGGTATTACGGCGTGTCACTGCCTGTGATTCGTTAAGAAAAACAGAATTTCATGTCCGATTGTATCGTTTGTTTTGGAAAAGAGACTGCTTACATAATGGTTTGTTATTGTAATATTCAATGTAGCACCACTTTGGTCCAGTCTATCCATTACAAGATCTTTACCAGAGATCATTAATGACATGACATCAACTCAAAAGTCATTCATCGGATATCAAGATTGATTCAATCCTTTCGTTCCGGTTGATTGCTCTTTATACTGTAAAAACGTAATCCCACACCAAACAGTGTGAATTAAAGTTAGAGTTGTTTCTTTTTCCATTATTATTATTTTTTTTTTATTTGGGGGGGGGGGAGGAATACGAATGTGTAACTATAACCATTGTATAATGAGGAGTAAATCAATACTTAAAGCCAAACAAAAAAAGAAGAATACACGAGCCAAGAATAGATCCATAATAAGACTTTCTTTTTGCAACTATCGTAGTTGATGTGGTACCCTACTAAAGCAATATAGTTGATTATGGATTTATCTGATTCTGGTTTCTTTTGTGTCATTTATCCGGCTAGGTAAAAGAACATCTGAATAAAAAAGAGGCTGAGTATCTTTTTCTATTATACATGTACTGTATATTGTATATATTTTTTCTTGTGTTTGGTGCCCTTACTGTAGATGGGGTCATTGTATTGACTGCGAAAAAAAAAATAGTAATAATAATATTCCTTCTTAGGCTTTAATTTAGTTATCATGAGTATTAATTAATCTACAAGTTTGAGGCTTGTAAGGGGTTTGAAATGATATAATGCCGAAAGTTCAATAGTCACTCTATTCAAAGTGTAATAGAAATGATTAACACAATTTGCCACTTCTAATCCAGTAAGTTATTGCTTTTGATCAGTGGCATCATCCCTTCATTGTTTGTAATTCATATTCGAATAAACCATTAATAAAAAGCAAAATACGGCTCCAAAATATTTCTTGGTTGCTAGCCTACACAGCCTTCAGTGATAATGGGCTTTGTTATTGGTAACTAGCAAAGGTAAATTGTATCCGAATTTGCCTAGTATTTTTCAATTGAAATTATGAGAGGGGAGGAAATCAACAAGGAAGATTTTTTTTTTTTTTTGAACAATTTCAAATACTTCTAATGGATACTATTGTAAGAATAATAGTTATTGATTAGATTTTTAAAAGATATATGACAATGATTTCACGAACAAGAAATATTGTATCACAGCCTCATAAGCCCATCGCAAGTAATATTTTTACTATCAATCTCAGGTATGTTAAACGACATAATACAACGAGAAAGGAAAAACTGTAGTATCAAATAGAAGATCTTTAGTGGAACAGTTTTGTCGATGCGACAATAGAACCGGCTTCCAGTATACTATCGTTTCTAGTTCTATGGCTTTGGCAAACAGCCACGGTTTGACAAATTGACAAAGCCACCAAGGCTTGGTAATATTCGGTGAATTAACCAATAACGCCGGGGTTAATCAATGTTATTGTATAACCAAATCATTTGATACTGATCCATATAAGTTTTATATTCGCATGACTCATGGGAAAAACCCAGATGTATATGATAGCATGTAATGATTTCAGATGAACAGCGCTCAAAGTAGATTTAAGAATTTTTGGTAGGTACATGGTAGCAAGAATTAAAATTACCACAAAAATGGTCATTTGTCCAAGTTGCTCTGACACTTGGATGGAATTATTTTCTGGCCTTGGCATTTGAAAAAAGATTCGCCCTGCTAGCGTAATGGTTAACGCGTCTCCCTCCTACTGTCATTAAAAATTTTATTTGTCACAGGAGAAAAGGAGAAGACTTCGGGTTCGAGTCCCGAGTAGGGTTTTTTTGTATTAAATTTTTTTTGTTTTTACTACTTTGTTGACTATTAACCGTTCAAGTAAATATTGGATATTCTTACTAGATTTAAGATTGATACTTACACAACTTGAAATGCTATGAGGATTGTAGTACTTAGTGCTATTCAATTGCGTATGTTGATTACTTGTTATTATCAATAGAAAATAAAAAAGCCATTCAATAATTACTATATTAATATTCGATGAAGGAAATATTGAAATTAGTATTTATTCTTTGATTACTATAGTTTGTTATCCTGTGCTATCATATATTTATCGAAAAACTAACGAATTTATAGGTAAGTACATAATCAAAGAATCTTTTTCTCTTATCGGGGATTATTGCTTTTTCAGTAAATGACAGAATACATAGTCCAGCCCATTCAAATTTAAAATACCTTCATGCTGACACGTTTTCCTTTTCCAATTTTTAGGACGTCTAGTATTCCCGAACGGCTTCGTCAGTGTTTTCAATCAATTTATTCCCATGATTTCAATTTTGGTTCACGCACGAAAAATTACAAGTTTTTGACAGCAATCTCTCTCTTTTCCCCATACAAAATGTTAAAATTGCTGTACAGTATGTTTTGGGGGATTTAAATAATGTAGATATAAGTGATTATTATATTTCTAGAATATCCTACTGAATTTGTGAATGTACTATATTATTAATGGTGTATTTATAATAGGCTAGAGGTTGATTTTATGTTTTGTCCAGGTGTTCCTTGTCTGATTTTGAATAATATTATCGACCTAACTATGTTCAGTGGAACATGCCCCATGGACTTTAACTCGTCTCAGAGATTCAGACACCAATTTATATGTATAACAAACTCTTCAAGTAGAATTTGTTTCTTTACAATTGACATACGTTCCAACCTGTATCGAATTCCACTACTAGTATTCATAATACCTCAGTGTACAGATAATTGCCTCTAGTTATTATTACACCATTTCAAAACCACAAGTAATATCCATTATTCAAGTATCGGGGTTTATTGGCACTATTGATAGAGTTTAAATATGACTATTTTATCAGATTTGAATTGTGATGAACTGATTTTGTATCGTTATCTGACATTGATGTATGCATGAACTAATAAAAAATACAGTAGTACATTTATTGTCCCACTTATCATCAATTGAAACTGAATATACATAACAAACTAGCAGTTGATAAGTCCTACCAACTTTCCAACAGAGTAACTACACTTCAGGTTGTGAACCGGAATAGTAGTTGGTATGGATATGATTCCCTTTATTTTGTTTATTCTACTATTGGTCGTATAGTATGTGTAAATTTTTCTGTCCCCCCCCCCGCGTCTTGTGACGTAAGGTGATAAAAAAATTCCCAAACCCCCTTTTTTTTTATTTATTTCTTCTAATATACTTTGTAATATAATTCCATGAATGAATCTTAGTACAATAATAATAACATTATCATGACAAAGGTATTATCTGATTTACAATTCTTTATATTTATAGTTATCCCAATCACATTATCATTAATATTTCTACCTAATTTTGTTAATCCTCATTTAATTGAAAACATTAAACTGAATTTTAAAATCATTTTAATATCTGAAAAATATTGTTCAATAAATAAAATTTATTGTAATCTTATAATTCAACAAAATGAAAAAAATCCTGATTTATTACGTAGAATTGAATTTGAATATTTTGATTTTATATATATTGTAAATCATTGGATTTATTCATGGGATCAATTTATAATTAAATTATTTATAAAATTTTTAAAAATTTTTATCGTTGGTTTGATTTTAAGACAAGAAATGTCAATTGAATTTTGGAATAAAACAAGTGAATTATTTCAAATCATGTTGGCAATTTCAAATTCAATGACTTATCATATGATTTATGGATTTTTAATTTCAAGAATGTATACATTTTTCATATTTGCAATTATAATTACTGTTGGTAAACCTTGGGAACGTATAATTAATCCAATTATATCTATTCTACGTACAAATAATGTATGTTAAAATCCAAAATCAAATGAACTCATATCGGGTTCTTCAAATGCTTGTGAACTTGGTGGTTTAAGATTAGCTACGGATGATAATGGTGTTGGTTCTTTATTTAGATATCCTCCATTGTTTTGATCAGATTTCTTTAAATCATCATCCTTTGTGTCAAATGTCCAGTTTCTGAGTAATTCTAAAGCCAAATAATCACACCCCATTCTTGTATAAATCATACAGACTTTAATAATAAATTGGAATTCTTCATCTTTGGATATATTTAAGGATCCTTTAAGATAATTGATTTTTTTATTTCTTAAATCATTGAACAAGATAATTAATACTGGATCATCACGTAAGAAACTTTGTCCTTTAGTGGATACTTGTAAATCTTTAGGTATATCAAAATTAGAATGTTTGGAAACCATATCAATTGGTGATTTAATTAATGCTTGAATAGATAATTCCTTTTCTTTGATTTGCCAAAAAATCCAACTTGTAGTCCATCTATCACCATTCTTAATAGCATCTGGTAAAACATATCTCTCGATAACTTGATATAAAAGTTCATTTTTTTCATCATTAATCTTCAGTTTCCCATAGATTTTAGCAATAGCTATAGCCAAAGTTGGATCATTTAATTTATTAGCTAATATATTACAACAATCCAATGGTGAATCCCCTAATAAAAAGAAATATGCAGCATCAATATATCTATGTTTACCCAACAAGACAAATGCATTTTTCAAAGCAGCTGATTTCCATCGATGTTGTGTGAAATCATTATTTAAAAATTTCAACATTTTCTGTTGTTCCGCATGATGTACAGTTCTCCATAATCCAATCAATATTTGTTTCTTTTTCAATGCTAAATAAAACAATGATATTTTCCCACTTGGATCTCGACAATCACTAAATTCATTTCTTGCCATTTGTTCAATAATTGTGGTAAGTGTGGCTGTTTTGGTTCATAAACCAAACCCGTTTGTTTAATATTTCCCATGTAAGACGATTATGATAATAATCATTAACTGATTGAAGTAATAATTCTTTGTTATCTGAATGCAAAGCCCAATTGATATCTCTCATTGAAAGATGCTTTTGTTTGGTAGAAAGTTGGAATAATTTGAATCCAATAGTAAATCTAATTCCATTATCATCTAAATTTAATAATGAATTTTTCTTTAATTCTTTCACAATAGCAATTATAGAAATCAATGTACTTTGTTGATGTCTAGTTAACAATGGAAGAGATATCTTCATGAGTTTTTCTGTCAACAAATCTGTTAATTCAGCATTGAATTCAGAAAATACATCCAATGTTAATGACATTCTTCTTTGTAATTTTTGAATCTTTGGTTGTAATTCATTCTTCTTCTCTTTAAAAAGTTCACTTTCAATGTCTAAATTCAAATCCCAGGTAATTGTGTCACCTCTTCTGATAGTTTGGAATAATTGTACAAGAATTTTCTGTACTCCAGTGATTTTACTCATAAATAATGCCTGAATTAAAAATTGAGGATGATAAATGGGTAATGGACCATTAAGAACTCTTACCAAATATGAAACATCAAATACTATATCATCAATATTGGAACTACCATTTTTCCCACGATCATTCTCTTCCATTTCAAAATCTGAATCAACGCTATCATCATCATAATCATTATTAGTGATGTATCCCGACATCAATTGTCTAATGGTAGAATCAATCGTACTAGAACCTAATTTGACCCACTTGTCATCAATGAAAAGCTGATTACCTGATCCAATGATTAAATAACCATGATCTAACCAAATCAGATCTCCAATTTCATGGGAAGTATAATCTGATATATCGATTTTTTCCAATGTAGCATAACTTGGGATATTATTAGTATAGTCATATCGTAATTGAGTGTACAACAAAACAAATCGATTGAACCCTACAGATAATATCGCATTGGCGGTCACTTTTCTCTTGGTAGCACTTATGAATGTCCAATCCAAATCCGTAACAGGACCATTTTCTTCAGGGAATACTTCTTCGTATTCTAAAACCCCTTGCGTAACATCCCAAACTGATAATCTAGATCCTGATGAATCAACCACGGCAAATTTATTGATAATTGTAGACCCGTGAATTTTACTAGCCTTGGAGATATTTGTTGCCAACTCTGTTTTCATTTTCCATTCAATACATGGTTTGGAAAAATCAAGCGTGTAACTCTTTAATAACCCTTCTTCTGAAATCACTGCTACAAGACTTTTATTTGCTTCTGATACAAACACATCAACAGCTGTTGCCTGATAAATAAGTTCGTCTTGCGGAAGTGGAGAAATATCTTGTTGAGTAAATGTAATCTCTTTGATCTTTTCATTCTTCTCATAGGTTAATGCAAGTTTCCATGCTTTGACTTGATCGTGTTCATACACTGCAACAATACAGTATTGTCGACAAGAATCGGTGTTATCAGGGAATTCAGTCAATAAAAACACTCTTGGTTCTTTAACAAAATCTAAACTCAATTGCGTGATAAGATCAGCTGGTTTGTCATCATTTGTAGACCCGTTACAATCCCAAACACTGAACTTACCATCCTTGTTTGCTGTCACAATGATATGTCTTCTTTTCCAGTCAACTGGTGGCTCTACATCATTCAAGATAACAGCGTTCCAAATACCAGATTCAACATTTACCAGAAATCTCTTTGTAACCGCCATAGTATTTGTTTGCAAAATCATTGGTTCCCAGATATAATTATGTTCAGCAAAATTCAGGATCGAAAGCAATACATTATTCTGGGTAAATGACGAATTTGATTTGACTAGTTTTCTTATAGATTTTGTATGACCTTGGAATTTGTTAACTAAAACCACATCTAGTTCTGAATGATTGACAAGTTTTTCAAAGTCGAGAATCTCAAATCTGATTGTATTTTTAGTTCTGTCATGTAAAAGCAAAGATAAATATGGCAATCTTTCGTTCAATATACATATTCCATTGATAATTATCGGTTTTACAACACTGGTAATGAAATTTTCTGACTGAATGAGATTGCTTGTGATTGGTTCATTAATTATTGTGTTGATGAAGGGGAATTCTTTTCTACCAAAGGCATAATCACCACCAATTCTTGTAAATTTGATATTACATGGTGGACATTGTGATGCGTTTGTAATCGCGAATATTTTAACTTCTCCTTTGTCAGATACAACAAATAACAAATCCATGTCATCTACATTCACATCATTGAACAAATGGCTGGATTTCTTTTTCAAAGCTGGTATCAAAGTTTCTTGTAAAAGATGGTTTTCAATAACAAAAATAGTGATTATTTTTTCAAATTCATGAGATAAATCTAATGTCTCCCAATTGTTGATTTGACTATGCCCTGTGTATTCACATGATGCCCAAACTCTAAATTTATAATCAGAGCAAAATGAATAAACAACTTCTCCATCATCTAAATTCCCATTATCAATATAGTCACGAATATTTCTAATCTTTGCCATATATGGATCAATGACATTTTCTTTTTTAGCATTTACGGTGGATTTTGTTTTCCAAATAAAATCAGCCACATATGTCCCTTCAGGATGTGGTAAATACGTTAAATCAAACATTGTATTTTCATCTCCATATGTTATTCTTGTCCATGCTTTAATCATTCTATCATAAGGTCCACTAGTTGTTAAAATTAATTTGGAATTGGGAGTAACTTCAATATTTTTAATAGGAGCAACTTCAAAAGATTTCCATCGTTCTTTGTATTTCCATTCTCCATATTCATTATACAAATGATACAAACACAAGGAATTATTTGTTCCAATTACTATCTCATCTTCTTCATTTGCCCATTTCACACAATTAATTGTCATATCATCAGGGATTTCGAATTCAGTACAACTTTGCCATTTTGGAATTTTCATATATTCATTCATTGGTTTATAAACAATTACTTTATTAGTAATTGCAATGATGATATACCCATTCTTTGGGTTAATGTCAATTGATTGAGGGTCTCTATTTAGGTATATTGTCTGTAAATTTTTATCAATATTGAATGGATTAGGATTCTTATTTGCTGGTTGAATGGTACCGCCTGTGATTATTAAATTGTTTCCTGATCCATATACTATTATATGATGATTTTTCCAATTTGTTTGAGCAACAGAATGGTTATTTCTGTTCACTTCACCCGGTATGAATGTAATTGTCATCTTTCCCTGCCAATGACAATATCTATCTCGTGGTGGGTAGTTGTCGTAAAATGAATAATAAGCAATTGGTGGAGTATAACGAAAGCGAACAAAAAAAAATAAAAAATTAAATTAATTGTCCTTTCATTTCCCGCGGAGTCGACGTGACATTCAGTCGAGAAGCAAGGAAGAAAAGAAGAAGAGGAAGAAAAAAAATCACTCCATTTGAATAATATCACCAATACTCTTGAAACTACAAAAACAAGTCATGGGTGCCAGGTATGTTTGACCCTACGTGTGGTTTATTGGCGTGAAACTGTATTACTAACTATTTTTTTTTTTTTTTTTAAATTAGTTGCAAAGATCAAAGAAAAGCTCTTGCTATATGTTTACAAAGATCTCCTTGTGTACTACTAGATAGAAATACTCCCAAGGAATGTTTAACAAACCCCGAGTTGAAAAAGGATTTACCAGAATTATGTAAAGCTAATTTCAGAGCTTTCATGGAATGTAAAGAAGGGATGTTGGATATGAGAAAGAGAATGAGAGGTAATGCTCCTTTATCCACTGGAAGATATGATGAAACTTATGATAATTTATCAAGTGGTAATTTCGATCCTCGTGAAGAAATGAGAAAATTAGATGTTTTGAATAGAAACTTATCAAAAGCTCAACAGGCTAAAGAAGAAGCTGAAAGAAACAAAGCTTGATTGTTCCACTATTGAATATCTCCTTGTATATATTAAAATCTACCTATTTCTTATATGAATCTCTTTCATTTGATAGTTTTGTAATAAATTTTCTAAAAATTGGATTAAATTTCGATATATGATTGAAGAAGTTATTCAATTGTAAAAGTTTATCGACATGTTGTAGTAACTTTTCATTATTAGTATTACTTTGTAATTGTTGTTTTATAGAATTAAACAACTCATCTAATGCATATTGAAACTCATCAACTGTATATGATTGTTTTTGAGATATTGAATTACTAACCAATTCAAATATTTTTAAAACTTGATTCAAATTAGCCTTGACTTGTTTTAATTGAATTAATTTTTGTATAGCTTCATTATTTATATTTGAATTATCCAACTGTTTATTAACCTCTGTTAATTCTGTTTGTAATGAAAGCACGGCATTATTTAAAACATGTACATGATATTGTAATCTAGTGGTTCCATGATCTTCACTATTATTAATAATAACATTGGATTTATCCAACATATCTAACTTTGATTGTAAATTCTCATTAGTCAATTCATTAGTATAATAATCTAGATGAGTAATTAAATGTGAAATATCATTTGATAATTTGGTTAATGAATTCTTGGAATATGCTGATATTGGTGTGGTTGTATTATGTGGTGTATTTTGATTGGTAATTGAATTAACTAATGTATCAATATATGCAGATGGATTAAAATCATCATCAAAAAACATAGACAATGACTCATCAGTCGTGGTAGTACTCATGGTGTTTGAAGTTTTATGATTAATACCATAAGAAATGAACAACAAGTTTAATAGATTGAAAACAAAAAAAAAAATATTTGGTCTCAATACACGCAAAAACATGATTTGTGTCACGTGGTCCATCAAGTGCTACTCTGATTCTATTCTCTAGAATTATGATAAATAAGCTCTTTTAATCTTTGTATTAAAATTATGAATTTCCATTTAGGAAATCATAAAGAAATATAAAAAAAATGGTATACAAATAATAAAATAAAATAAAGTATTTAAAAGAGTTGTAATTGATTAGACTTAAAAGACAAGAGCAAAAACAATAGCAATAGCTGATAAGAATTCAACACCGTAAACAGTGTTCATAGCACCAGCAGCAGCAGAAGATGAAGATGAAGAAGAATCACTTGAAGAAGAGTTAGAATCATCTCTCTTGTGGAATTTATTGATGTCAATGTAGAAACCAATACTCTTTGTTTTTTGGAAATCAAAGTGAATGTTCTTACCTGGTAAACCGTCAAAACCGAACCAACCAGTTGGACAACCCAAATCAACAGTGGAGGATGAAGAAACACCCAAAGTGTGAGTTTGAGTCAATGGACAGTAAGTGGTGATAACAGTAGAAATGTCACTTTCAGTAACAGTGATAACGGTGACACCAGTAGTAGCAGTAGTTTGATGACATCCATTGTTAGCACAACTGGTAATAGTGACAATCTCAGTGGTTTCAGCAGTAACAGTGACGTAAGAAGTGGAGAAACCACCAATGTCAGTGTCAGTAGTAGTGGAGGTAGTAGCGGTAGTAGTAGGAGCAGTGCTTGAAGTGGATGATGAAGAAGTGGTGGAACTAGTGTCTGGAACTTCAACAACAACAATATCAGAAGCAGTAGTGGTGGTGGTATAACTTCCGGTCCAAGTGTTGGTATAAGTAGTGTAAGAAGTAGTACTTGGTGGACAAACAACAATGACAGTATCGGTAGAAACACCAGTGATAGTAGTAGCAGTTACTTCAGTAATACCTTCAGAAGTGGTAGTAGTAGTGACTTGTGGGTTTGGAGTTGATGGAACTTCGACAATAACAGTATCAGTGGAAACACCAGTAACGGTGGTGGTAGCAGTGGTGACACCAGTGTAAGTTGAAGTAACAGTAACTTGAGTGTTTGGAATAGAAGTAGCTTGAGAAGTTTGACCACATTCCATAGAAGTAGAAGTACTAGTGAACCAATTACCAGTACCGTGGGTGGAGATAACGACATTTTCGTATTTGGTACAAATTTGACCGTCAGTTTTGGTGGTGTGAATAGTGGTGGTACTAGTACATGGTTCGGTACCTGGAACTTCTGGTGGTGGTGGACATGGTTGACAAACAGCTGGTCTACCTGGGGATGGACAATCACCGTTATATTGAACAGCAGTGTTATCATCTTTACAAATGGAGAATTTGGATGAATCGTAACCTTTACCAATAAAGAATTTTTGAATTTGCAAACCAGCTCTTAAAGTCAAGATACCAGAACCAGAATCATAAGAGAAAGCAGCTTGTTTCAAGATTGAAATTCCACCTAATGGAGTAGTTAAGGAAATTTTCTTTTCTTTACCAAAGTTGGCAACTTTGTAAACTTGTGGAATGATACCTGGGGCGGCTTTGATACTACCTTTAGAAGCACCCAAGTAGAACGTTTGATCTTTATCAATAGAAATCCAATCACCAATTTCAAAATGAGAATCTTTTTCAATAGCAATACAACCAGAACCTTTAATTGGGGCAAAAGCTTTAGCTTTATAATTGGTTAAACAAACAGTACCTGAGTTTTCAATACTACCACCAACACAACCAAGTTGAACAGTAGTGTCGGTACATTGATTTTGATGAATATGAATACAACCAACGTTTTTAATAATTGTGGAAATAAGAGCAACTTTCTTAGCTTCAATAGCACAAATCAAATTACCAATATTTTCCAATTTAGCACCAGCAATGTTAATAATACATTCTTTACTAGCTTCAATAGTCAGAATAACCCAACGACCTTTATTGACAACTTTACTGAAAAGATTATCAATAGAAACTTTTAAAGCTTGAGCAGTAGAAGCAAGGAAGAAATCACAATCTTTATCAATACTAATATCACCTTGGAAAGCAGCATCAAATTTATCAATCAAGGAGAAAGAAGCACCTTTAGAAATGGAGATATCACCGCATCCGAAATCAAATGAAGCATATTTGGTTAAGGATGAGGTTAAATCAAAAGTAGCAGATACAGTAGCAGTAGTAGCTAACAATGGAACAATAAGATTTTTCAATAACATTATTGATGTTGTTCTTTGATGTTTTTGATCTAATAAAAGAAGTTTCAAAAAAAATCAGTCAGTTAAAACCTGGGAACTTGTAGGTTTATTTATAGTTGATTTTTTTTTTATACCATTATTAAATCATTTGGAGTTTGCCCATTATTATCATTAGGGTATAGAATGATTGTACATTCTCTTAGAAGCAACGTCTTCGTTTCCCCATATGTAGTGTAGTACAAAATAAAAATGAAAATCCTATAGTGAAATCACACTCGCTGCAAAAAAAAGAACAATAATTTATCTGTCCACACACGACTTGTTGTAAAATATACACTACATGGATTTTTGTACCGTATAGAATCTATTGTTAAACGCTGATCCTTGATGAACAGCGTTAATGAGGTTTTAGTTCATTTGGATATGAAACACCAGGTTGATGAATGGTGTGTTAGAAATAATAATTTTTCTTCTTTTTTTTTAGTTTAGTAAGGTTTAAACGACTAAAAATAAAAATAAAAGAAAGGGATTCTTGTAATTACTAGGGCGACTGTTATTTATTAAACTTGAGGCGAATAATGAGTTTATTGATGATTTTGCCATAAGTCAGAATGCCAAAATGAAAGACATAAAATGTCACTCTACGACCAAGTCTATATTTGTTCACTCCTTGGCACACTTTTCATTCAAGATCTTTATTTAAGATCTTTCTTGTTATAATTCGTTTTTACATTTCAAAAAGGTTATTCTTTCTGAAACTCAATATCATTCGACTTTTGCTTTATGCAACCTGAAAACCCGAATCATTACTCTTCTTGTATTGTTTAGTATTAGAAACGCCTTCAAAAAAATTCAACAATGAAGATGAGAACCCCTAAAGACGTGTTTCCTATTTGACTATTTTTTGTTTTGTGGTTATATAGGAACTAAAATATTATCATACATTCCATTATCTAACTCACGAAATTTAGGTATTTTAAAGATGGAAAATCCTTGTTGTAATGTGCAACAAAAGGATTTACCATGTAGATAGGCCTGAATAACACCGATCTTTAAAGGTTTGTCTATATAAACTTCTAGAAAGAGTAATATCGAAAGGGTAACAGAAAAATGGAAAAATATTATTTTTTTTTTGAATTTTTAAACATCCGGAACTCATCGACTCTTTAATAAGAATGAATTCTACAAAAAAAAAAGAAAGAAAGTTGATGGCAGGTCTAATTGGTTAAAATATTAATTCCGTGGAATATTTAATGGAAATATGTCTATCGTGAAGTAATTGACGATGACGATGGAAAACTTTCGTCATGTATGCGAGTTCCCGAGAACCATCTCTATTCTTATCCGCTCTCAACCAGTGCAGTGAAAAGATAAAGATGAATCCGTGGTTATGCTACTAAATATAGAATCTCTATATCATGGTATAAACTGATCATTAGTACAATCTTCAAATAATGCCACTTTTCACCCATTCCTGGCTTATTGTTTAATACGCGAAAACGCCTCGGCATGTTGTGTAGAATTATTCGTAAACTTTTAACAAAGTCTCTCCATTTCTGTATATTTATTATCCATAACCAGTAGAAAGAATCATTATTGAATTAACCCAGAAATCTTAGATCATCCTGTAAATTAAATGATTGCATTATTTTTCAAAACAGTTAAGATTAAAGAAAATATAATTCCTTTTAAGAATGAAAACGGACGTAATCTAAACATCGCTTACTTAATGAGACGCGGTTTCTTTAAAAGCATATCCTTTTGAATTTATCCTGCTTCAACTGATAATCTAAATATTAGAAAAGACAAAGATTCGCTTGAATGAGTTTTGGGATAGCCAAGTGATTTACTGAACCGGATCCAACCGAAAGGTTTAGTCCTCATTGGGATTACATTTTCACATGGTTGATGTAGGTAGTGGTATTACGCTTATATAATAATATTATAACTATCACCAAAGAAAATGAATTAGTATAATTTGTTACCTATTGTAGGAAAAAAGCTTCTCAAAGAGGATTTATTCCCACCATGGAGTCGTCCGATTTCTCAGGAACCTCCTTACATGTGTATAATTGAGTTATAACTTGTGATGCTTTACTCTTCTTCTTTGTTGTTGGTGATATCAAGTTACTGACATCTGACATAATTCACTAGTCGTGTCTTAACATCAAGCTACCAAGTTTTTAGTCAAATTAAATAAAATTCTCTACGAGTTATTTTTTGTATAAGAGCGATTAATGCTCAAAGGAATGTATTTCATGATATTATAATTCAAAGCCATTTCAATTGGCTTTTTGCGAAATGTGACTAATGAGGGGCTTTGTTGAACATGTTTGCATATCATCAACAACGCGTATTCTAAAGTTCATGATTGGTATTGAATAAATTTTTCAACAAAAATTTCAACAAAAATTTAGACTAAAATCATTACAAATTGTACAAGATTTGAAGGAATGTTTATTAGTATTTGGGAAATTATTATTCATTGATATTTTTTTTTGCAACTAATATGAATTCTAACTACAAAGTCCAGGTATAACCAACGCACGTGATATTACATAAGCATAATAAATTGGCAATATCTAACCACCATCAAATTTAATCAATCTCTTTGAACCTTAAAGAGACCCTCCTCATTTGCTGAATAAACATTCAGACATATATGTGACATCAACTCGTGGTGGGTATAGCATGTTCCATCAGGTCCGAATCTTTCTTACCAAGGGATCGTGGGTCCAGGTCGACAAGTGGAACAAAAAAAAAAATAATAAAAAAAAAAAAAAATTAATAATCCGAGAATTTCACATAATTCGATTGATTACTAACACTATACTTCATACCAACCAATGAATCTTCTACCAATATTTGTATTTATAACTAGTGTATTTTCATATTCCGCTTCGAATATAATTCAAGCAAATGATCAGACATTACAATCAATTATTAAAACTCCAGGTAAATTTACATTTGTTGATTTTTATGCTGATTGGTGTCGTCATTGTAAAAAATTAGCACCAACAATTGATAAATTAAGTGAATTATATAATGATATTCCTGATATTCAATTTGTTAAAATTAATGGAGATAAAGATGGTAAAAAAATGGCAAAGAAATATGTTGAAATTGGATATCCTACATTATTATTTTTTTATGATGATGGACGTAAAGTTGAATTTGATGGAATTAGAGATATTACAAGTTTAAGTAATTTCATTCAACAATTGAGTGGTATTAAATTAGAAGAAAAGAGAGAAGAACAAGAACAAGAACAAGAAGTGAAGGTAGATGAAGTTGATACTAAAAATAATGGATTTGTGGAATTGACACCAAGTAATTTCAATCAAGTTGTTTCACTGAAAGAATATGCTGTTGTTGCATTTGTTGCATCTTGGTGTAAATACTGTAAAGATTTAGATCCAACTTTAGAAATCTTAGCTGATGAAGTTTATGCGAGAGACGATAATTTATTAATTAGTCATATTACAATTGATAAACATGATGATAATTCAATCGATGAAAAATATGATGTCCAAAATTTACCATCAATTTTATTCTTTAAGAATGGAGATTTGGAAAATCCGGTTGTTTACAAAGGAGGTCAAAAGTTTAATAATTTACTCGATGCTATTAATAAATATACTGGATTAAGTCGTGATGCGTCTGGTAATTTACAACCAGATGCTGGTGTCATTAAACCTATCTCACAATTGTTTAAAGAAAATTTAAGTGAAGACGAATTATATGAAAAGATGGATAGTTTCAATGGTGGTAATGGTGATTCTATTGAATATTATAAGAAATTGATCTCTGCTAAAGAGTTTATTCCTGCTGAATTAGCCAGAGTCGATAATATTTTGATTAATGATATTGATAAAATCAATGGAATCACCATTGACTCATTGACTAAAAGAGCAAACATTCTTAGACTGTTGATATAGACTACACTGATAGATTATGAATAAATAAATAACACTATTAAGATGATAAACAATAATATTAAAACCAGATCTATACATACATGCGCACACACTCTCTACCAATCGATTGGGTTGAATTTTTGAACCATTCTAACTTTATCTGGCCAAACTTTACCATCACCAAGAATACATTGATCCACAATTGGTCTAACATTATTTGGTTTACATAAACCTAACCAGATATTTTTACCCAGGGATTTCAAATAAATAATTATATTAGCAGCATATTTATGACCACCAATATGATTAATAAATTGAACAGAAACACCGCCTGGAGTATTATCACCAAAATCTCTGTATAAATCTAATTCTTGTAAATAATTTTCCATTTCTTTCTTCATTATTGGTGCTGTTACTCCACAACGTTTATCTCTGGTGGTATGAGAACACATAAATACATAACTTTGATTTGGATCAGGAGAAACCATAGGTAATCTTGAAGTAATCTTTTCTATTGTTACTTCATCAACTAATAATTGATGTAATTCATCCAATACTTCATCAACTTGATCAATAGCAATACCTTTAATATTTAAAAAATAAGGCAATACCAAAAGGTCAGTCTTTTTCTCATTGATATAATCATCATTAATATAAAAATCATCAGAACCCATGGAACAAACATTAACTTTTATAGTACCTAAGGGAGATTTCTTATCTCCAGCCCATTTAGCAACTGCATGTTTTATGGTACCTGAACCATCAACAGCATCATGAGCCCAATCTGTTTTACCAGTAGATACAAGAATATGCATACCATAAGGTTTAGTAGATTTCCATAATGGATCATTCTCTTCAAATTTTAAACTCTTTGGAAATTTAGAAGAACAAGATTCACAAGTTTCAGAACACTCAGATATTTCAAATCCCAAATCTTCTATCTCTTGAGTGGCATCATTCTTTTTACCAAACCATTTCAGTAAGATTGCCATTTTGATTGATTATGATGATGGATGGAAACTAAAAGGAATAATAATACTAATAAGATAAACTGAAGGTGGCGCTATATCTTAGTAATTAAATATGAAAAAATTTAATAAAGAACCTATTAGTAACAAAGAGATTAGAAATAGGAAATAAATAATCAAAATGAGAGTAGTGGCTATCTCAAGCCATAGCATGGCATTGCGCGGAAATAATAATCATAACACTAATATAAAAGTTTGAAAGAAAAATCTGAAAAATTTTTCGGGAACCCGAAATGGAACAACCCAAGAGCGGCCCGATTATCGTTCCGAACAGAACCCGATGATCAGGTCATAATAATATTTCCTAGCAAAGCAGCGAAGAAAAAATAAATTGATACAACAGAAAAAAGGGAACAATCTAATTTGACAGACATGGCTGGCAAAGGTTAAACCATGTCATCTCCTCTGGAGATGTTGTTCTTTTCTTGTTTTTTTGCAACCTTATAACATTCTCTTATTGTCTTTGCAATAAAGTGGATTGACATTTCAACTGTTTTGTGTGTGTGTGTGTGTGTGTGTGTGTGTGTGTGTGTGCGGTTGAATAAATGTATAGTCGTGCGGTGGTGCACAAAACAGTAGAAAAAACAGGAATCATGGAGTTTACGGACTTAAGTTCGGAATTGACAAGTCCTAGTAAGGGGTTCTAAACAAGATAAAGATGATTGGTAAGGATAACCGAATTATAAAAGAATGCCAAAGGTGTAGTGTTGGTAGAAACTAACCACATTTTTTTGAAAAGACTGTGATGTCTCATGTGAGTAACCGAGAAATGGCTTGAAATTTACTGAAAACATGAAACGAGTGAGTGGGTTTGTTACTGGATCAAGGGATGTTTTAGTCTAGAGAAAAGGAACATACGAATTTAATCTTGATTCCCTTTTTTTTATTGATTTTCCACTAAAGTTGATTTTGATAATACTACGTTGTAACCAATTTCTCCACATTACTGTTGCCATTATATAGAACTAGTAGAGATGATTATTCTTTGCATTGCAATTGATAAAGTTAAATAATTAAACATGTGGTTGTAAATCCAAGGCGTGTGTTGTTGTTTGCACGAAGAGATGGCTGTGTGAGCTTTGCATGCTATGTTTATGATCCAATCATAAATCAGCCACCAATCCACACACTCACTCACTCACTCACACAGACAGACAACTTCACTCTAATAATGATGACATATCCAGTGACTAACAGGAGGGTGGTCAGTTGGTTGATAATAATTCGTGAATGTTTTACATAATCAGAATTAAAATTAGAATTTAAATTCTTACTACAAACAAGCAAAATGAGAAAAAACGAATGAGACAGCCAGATGGCAGCCACTTCTTCTTTGTTTTAGTTTTTACCACCACCAGCAACAAAAGAAAAAAAAAATTAAAAATCAACTCTCACTCTCACTCTCACTCTCACTCTCACTCTCACTCAATCGACAATAATAATAATAATAATAAAAAAAAACATCATCTTTTCTTACAACCCATTTACAACCAATCAACTAATCAATCAACCAACCAATCAACCAAGTACTCTAACTACCCATCAGGTTCCATTTGTTTCTATCATTATTCAAGTAGTCTGAATTTAGCACCACTTGTTTATAACATATTCTTCTTCAGGCTGTGAAGACAGAGGGAAATAAAATTCACATCCTTGACGAAACCAATAAAAAAAAAAAAGAAGAAAAATTTATTAATACAATTCAAAGAGAAAAAAAAATAAGGGAATCGTCAATTTATTATTATTTTTTGACTTCATCAATTAAGTTTATCATAAAAACGAAAGAAGAAGACGGACTAATTTCTTGCTTTCATTCTATTTTGTTGAATTATAAGTTTACTTATGATACAAATATCTTCCATAACAGAACCTCCGACAAAATTTGAAGCAACAAGATCGCATCTATCGGACCAATCTGACAAGAACAACAAGAACAACAAGAATCAACATCATCTTCAACAACAAATAAGACAAGAATCTCCAACTAGATCTTCATCATCAATATCCTTAACATCATCATCATCCCAAATGTTGTCATCAATATCACATCAACCAAGTATTCATGATAACATATCTAGTACAGTCTCAAGTACACCGTCAAGTCATACATCTCATGATGATTCTACACTTAAATTGCCATTATTAACATCAGAAAATTTACAACAACAAGATGAAATTGTAGAAGAATCAAATAACCATCATTCACCTTCAACCCCTACTTCATTTAAAGGAACTAGATCAGAAACGAATTCAAATTATACCCATGAAACTACCCCTTCATCTATTGAACATAACGAATCAAAATCCACAATACCGCCGCCAGAATCAACCGATGAATTTGAATTTCAAATAAAAAGAAATAATGTGCGGAATTCGATAGAAGTAGACCCTTTGCATAACATGTCTTTGCACAACCAATCAACAGATGATTCTACAATTAAATCAAAACAGACATCTCCTCAACCACCACAGCAACAAGATCAAAAAGTTCAGTCTCCACCTTTGGAACATCAAAAACCAACGTCTCCACTTCCACAAGTACCGACTACATTACGTCTTCGATCTGATCTGGCAACTAATCTAGTAACACCAAAAAATATCAGAAGACATACATCACCGGCACCACTTCTTTCAAATTCAAGAAATAGTATGCAATCAAATTCAAATAAGATGCATCGATTATCATCAAGGACAGAATCAGTGATTGCTTTAACAAGACATTCCATAACAATCGAAAGACCTTTAAATAATCGAAATACTTATAGTGGAACAGGAGCACCTCAACAATTGCCAGTTACCACCAGTTTTGAAATTCAACGTATGAGGGATTCTATCATACAAAAGAGACAATTTAAAAAGAGACTCACAGAAGAGGAAAAAGTGTTGGTTGGTAATAAAATCAGTGAAGGCCATGAAAATTTTGTCATGGCATATAACATGTTAACCGGGATTAGAGTTGCCGTTTCCAGATGCTCAGGTGTAATGAGAAAATTGACAGATGAAGATTTCAAAGCCACTAAAAAACTTTCTTTTAATTTTGATGGTAGTGAATTAACTCCTAGTTCCAAATATGATTTCAAATTTAAGGACTATTGCCCAGAAGTGTTCCGAGAATTGAGACAAATCTTTGGTATTGATCCAGCAGATTATTTGGTTTCGATCACAGGGAAATATATTTTATCCGAATTGGGATCTCCAGGAAAATCAGGATCATTTTTTTATTATAGTAGAGATTTTCGATTCATTATTAAAACCATTCATCATTCAGAACATAAACAATTACTTCGAATGTTAAAAGATTACCATCATCATGTGAAAGATAATCCAAATACATTGATTTCACAATTTTATGGGTTGCACAGAGTTAAAATGCCATTATTCGGAGGTGGAAGTAGAAAAGTGCATTTTGTGGTTATGAACAATTTATTTCCACCCCACCGTGATATTCATTTGAAATATGATTTGAAAGGTTCAACTTGGGGTAGAATGACCAAAATACCAGAAGGACAAGAAAATGAATTATCTAAATTCACCCTAAAAGATCTTAATTGGTTAGATGATAAACGTAAGATACAATTTGGGCCTGAGAAGCGAAATATTTTTTTCAAACAATTAGAAGCCGATGTTAAACTATTGAAGAAAGTCAATGTTATGGATTATTCTTTGTTATTGGGTATTCATGATGTTAAAAAGGGGAATAGTGTTGATTTAGAGAAACAATTATCGGTGTTTGAACCGAAATCATTTGATAAAATTGCATTAATTAGTACCAATCCAAGAGATTTAGATAGATTACAAGATTTGCCTAGTGATGTGTTCCCTGGAAGATCCAAATATGTATTTTATGGTCATGATGGTGGTATCAGAGCAACTACAGAGGATAATGTACCGACAGGAGAAATTTATTATCTTGGTATCATTGATTGTTTAACTAATTATTCATTAAAGAAACGATTAGAGACAATGTGGAGAAGTTTAAGTCATCAACGAAGTACCATTCTGGCTGTGCCTTCTAAAGAGTATGGAGATAGATTTCTTAGTTTTATTAAAAAAGGTACTACACAGGCAAAAAGGAAAATATTTTAGATTTTAAAGGAAACAAATAAAAAAAAAAAGCAAACAAGATGATACTACAGAAGGAAGAGTGTGCAAGTTGTTCCTGTTTTAAAGCATTGTTGATAGAGAGAACTAATGCTAAAAAGGAACCACACCCTCTAAGTTGATGCTTTTTATATACAAATGCATATAGTTATACATTCATACAAAACAAAAACATAAAAAAAAAAATGAGGAAATAGGCTTATTATTTATTTTCAGTTCGGTTCTTATTATTCAATATAAATAATTTATTTGACTTTATATTAGTTTTGTAAAGTAAGTGAAAAATTTCAACCAATAAAACCGAGGAACGGGCAACAGAAATAAAGAGAGAGCAAAAAAAAAAAAAAAACCAGTGATAGTCACCAACATCAACATCAACATCAAGACATCTCTTTCAATTGCAACACAGGCATAATTGTATTGAATAATGATAAACACAAAAATAGGTAGACCATGTGTTCGTCTACATCAATTGAACTTTATTAGATCAATTACAATCAATCAACAACCATCATCTACGATTTCCACAGAACAATTAACCAAAACAACAACTATTCCATCAAATATTCAACAAGTTGAAGAATTAACCAATTCAAGAACATTAGAAGCACCTGAATTTAAAACCCTTGGTAATTCAGGGAGTTCAACAACATCATCATCGTCATCATCAATACTTTCAATTAATTTACCACCATCTGTGCCTATTTATTTAAAAAGAGGATCATTATTATCCATTTATGGAATTAAACAAGACATTACATCTATTAATTCAGTTAGATCAAGTTTAGAATTTCCTTTATTTTGGAAGAAATTAATTTATGGAATTGATAGTAATAAAGGATATCAAAGATTAATTTCAACAAGTCCATTTTCAATTTTAGTTAGTTCACAAAGTAGAAGAGGTGGAAGTATATTTTCAAAGAATAATGGAGATAAACTGTTTGTTAATTTAATATTAGATGGTGGTACAGATTGGGCAATTTTGAAAAATGATTCAATTCAAGCATATTCTGGAAATTCATTAAATTTGAATATTTATAAATTACCTAATTATATTTCTAAAAAATTATCAAAAAAATTGGGATTTGGTAATAAAAAATTTAAAACTGGTTTAATTTCTTGGATAAATAGAAAAATTGGTTATATTTTAATAAGTGGTAGAGGTAATGTTGGATTAATTGGGAATGGAAATATTTATAATTTAAATTTAATTAAAAATGAAGAAATTTTGATTAATAAAGAAAATTTATTGGGTATTACAGTTAATGGACCTTATGATTTACAAAATTGTATTATAAAATATCAATTTCCTTTAAAAGATCAATCTATAATTGATAGTAATACTAGTGATGTTATTATTGAGAAACCTAAATTATATGAACCTAATTCATGGGGAATGATTAAATATAGATTTGATCAATTTAATAAATCATTTAAAAAGATTTTTCAATCTATTTTCAAATATTCTTCAGATGTGAAAGAATCAGGGTTTAATTATTTAGTTGGAAATCAAGAATTTATTAAAATTATTGGTCCTAGAAATATATTGATTCAATCAAATGTTGATAATTCATTTATTATTCCTTCAATAAAACGTTCTGATAAGATTGTTACTCCAGTTAAGAGTAATGATAATACCGAGGTTAAAAAATCTACTACTACTGGTGATTATTTGAATTATGTAACTATTGAACCTGGTAAAGGAGCTGTTTTTAAAAGTACTCCTGATTTTAAAGATACAGTTGATCAAATAGACAATAAATCAAAATAATTATAATACATATTCTTATTAAGTTTTTATATTTGTTGCGTTTTGTAGTAGAAAGTCAAATTCATGAATAACGTCATTGGGTGTGTTTGTCATTATTATCATGATAATTACATATTAACTAATACTTCTACAATCTATATATTCTGTTCTCTCCTCCCGTTATCCATCAATCACTTGATGAATTCTTTTGCTTTTTATTTAATGGTAAATCGCTTTCCTCAACCTCTTCTTCTTCTTGTTTATTACCCCAACCCTCTTTTTTATTATTGATAGTAGTAGCTGGTTCTTTGTTAGTTCCATCTTGACTATGGTTTCTATTTAATAATTGTGCTATTGATGGTAACCTAGTTGAGTTACCACTTGACTCATTATTATTGGACTTATCATTAACTATTATACCATTATTTAATTTATCAACCAGTGTATCGCGTGTAATCAAATCATTTAGATTAACTTTTGTAATAGTATTTTTAAAATTTGCTTGATTTGATAAATTATCTAATTTTGAATTTTGTAAATCGTTACTATTATTAATGGATGATTTGGTATCACTAATTGGTGATTTATTCAACATTGAAGAAATTTTATTACTCAAAGACGAAGATGTTACGTCTAAGGGCCTTTTTAAAATTTGGTCATTAGATTGAGTATCATTAGCCGGTGGAGTATTATCTCCTGAATTTATTGGAGACATTACTTTTGAATCGTAATGATGATTATTGGATGAATGAGGTGACGGTTGAGAATTTCCTTGTCCTGGTTGATATTGGTATTGTTGTTGACGATGATGATCATGATGTTCATGATGCTGTTGTTGATGTTGTTGATGAGTTATATAAAAATTTGAATGGAATGATTGAGGTAATGAATTCTTTCTCATATGCCAAATTGAATTAAACTGAGTAGGTTTCAGTATAAAAGGTTGAGAATTATGACGAGTTTGCTGATATTCTTGATGAGGAGTTGTATCATAATGGTTCATTAAATTTTGAGGAGATGGCGGTGGAAATTGAGGTTGATATTTATCAAAGGCCATTAGTTTATTATAATTCATATAAGGATCTTTTGATGATGGAAATGTTGTTGAATTTGTTGAAGAAATCAGCATTACATTTGGTAATGATGCATGTCTTGGGAAATACCCTGGACTTTGTTGGTTTTGAAACTCAGGAAAATGTTGTTGAATTGGTGTATATTGAAATGGAGTAGGAACAGATGATGGTAAAGAGCTTGAGGGTGATTGCAAAATATGCGGTGATTGCAGTGCCTGTTGTTGCTGCGGAGGATATACTCCACTTCCACCAGAAGTACTCCATGAGGGTCGTGGTCGTTGTTGTTGTTGAGGGTTGTTGGTAGATTCATTAGGTAATACAACATAATATTTAGACATTACTTTTGAAATAGCTTTACGTAAATCACTCCAATTAAACACTTTTAAATCCTTTTCAATATTCCTTGGTCTTGGATTTTCCATACTCATAATTAAATTAAAAAAGTTTCGATCAGAAACTATTTGCTCCAGATCTAGTAGTAGGTTTGGAACTAAGCAAATTTCTTCTAATTTTGTTCTCTTCCTCCACATCAAAGGTTTGATTAACCAAATATTCCAATAATATTATGATATCAACTGAAGTAACCACATATGAATTCATTTCTTTCCAATAAATACATGATATTGTTGGTTTTAAATTGTCATAATCAGTAGTGGAAATTGGATTGAAATCAATAACTTGAACATAATTCTCAGTAGTAAATTCAAACTTCACTAGTCTTCTACTGCTTTTAATCTCAGTAGCAGACCAATTCTTAGTCATCAGGTCTAAATCTTTAACAAATTTTAAAGTTGCTGAATAATTTGGATTAACTTGATACAGAAACTGTCGAATATATTGCATGTTGGTCGTATTAGAAGTGGTTGTAGAAGGGTGTTGAGGATGATAAGTTTGAATCTGATGTTCCAGAGGAGGCTTTGGCTGCTGCAGAAGCTGTTGTAAAGGTTGGTGTGGTTGAAGGTGGTAGTTTGCAGAATTTGGTTGATGTTGTTGTTGTTGTTGAGGGAATTGCACAAAGGGACCATTAGGTTTTGACTCAGGCTGTTGTTGAGGGCGTTGTTGGTACGAATATTGCTGGACCTGGTTTGAAGAAGGGCCATTATTCGGTATATAACCAACCATGAATTATAATCAAAGTCTTAAGGGGTAAAATGAAAACAAGGAACAACTTTCAATTATAATAAATAATGAATAAAAATTTTATGGGGTATTTTTTTTTTTTTTTAGTTTGAATAAAGGGAAGGTTATCTTAGTTGCAAAAAAGAATACACGGAAACCAATGAACAACAAAATGTGTTTCTTTTAAGATGTGATATCAAATGAAGCAGACACCTCTGAATAGGTCCGATAGTGATAATCAGAGGAAAGGAAAAAGGGAGTTATTGTTCCAACGAAACTAAACAAAACAAAAAATAAAAAAAAAAAACAAAAAAAGTTGTTTCAGAAAAAGAAATCTTTCTTCAATTCAAAATTACATTGAAGAAAAGTTTTAGGTGACAAAAATGGCCGACATCTACGGTGAGGAAAATGGGCTTAATGAAAGCATGCTTAATCTTAAGAGAAATAAAGATTTAAAGTAAACAAATGGATTTCCATTTCCCAATTTCCAATTTCTAAATTGAAAAATTTTTCGTGTTTTTTTTTTTTTTTTGTTTTTTTTTTTTTATTTTATTTTTAATTTCATGATTTTTTAGTTGGAACTGAATTCCGTTGATTATATTTCTATTTCCAAATTTTCCTTTTCAGTTTATAGAAGAAGAAGAAAAGGTGGAAGGATTAGTGACAATGCTGAACAGTAGATAAAATGTATTACATTTCCATGGTATGCACTAATCAGCCTTATATAAAGGGATCTAAATAGTCATCCTCTGTGAACATCACCCACTCAGGTGTGGAACAATTGTAACTCCTTAAAATGCCCTTGCAAAAGAATGAATGAATGGACGTATCATCATTTCTTTTCTTTTTTTTTTTGCTATATTTATAGTCGTACATAAGTGTATTAAGAATAAGTGGCACAATATCACCTTTCATTAATATGGAACTCCATCATTAACACTAAGCGCCAGTCTTTTGCACCACTACCGCCAAATTAGCCTCAATTAAAAACTCAACAAAAAATTATAATCCGAATAGTTTGATTATAATATTTCAATAGTTTAATGAACAGCAAAATTTTAGGTTTACGTTTTTAGGATTCACTTCCGATCAAGAGCCTGCAAGATGAGTTAAACAATAGAAGAGAAGAGAGTAGAGAATTTTCTTCCATTTTATCGGTAATATCGCTTAACACAACTTGACTTAACTTAACTTAACTTAACTCAGCTTAACTTAACTTAACGAACTTAACTTAACTTGACTTAAACTTAACTTAACTTAAACTTAACTTAACTTGACCTTACCTTAACTTAAGCTTAACTTACTACTACTAAATTTCATTAGGAATTAAT